TGAGGTATGTGGTAAAATGTAGATTATTGCATTTGAAATTTTTTGTTAGTTTTTAAATTATATTTTTTGTTGTTGTATTTTTAGCCAATTATCCCTAACAACAAAATAGGTCCTAAAAGAAAGAGAAAAAAAAGTTAATGATTAGTTAACTAAAATTTAGTTTTCATAAATTATACAGAGGTTGATATATAGATTTTAATTATTTTTTGAGGAAGAAATAAAATGAATAACAAAAATCTAAATATATATGAGGAGAGAAAACCTTTTAGAAATTATGAAGTAAAAAAAGAGAAGTGACTTTAAAGACTTTAAAAATGAATACAACCATAAAAGCATGATTGGGAAAAAAATAATCTTTGAAGATTGTAAAATAGTGTTAAAGTCTCCACAGTCCAACGCCAATTAGCCCTTTATCAGTTTTTCATCAAAACTAAACGAGTTAACGACATTTCGATATTTTTTTCCGGAGTTTGTTCTATGTCGTCGATCCAAAGGAAGAACAATGAAAATTGATTTACATAACAAAAGTTATGTGCGTCTAGAAGACATGTTTTTTTATACATACATTTTCATTCCCTATTAGTCTAGTGATATAAAAGTATATTTATTTAACAGTGATAATGAAATGTGTTAAAATTAAGGGCTAGTTAGCTAGATAACAAAGATTTGTATGTAAATTAGTAAAATAACAAAAAGATATGGGATTCCCTTGTAAAACACAATAGATTGGTTAACTAAGGTTTTCATTTGTCGACCAAAAAAAAAAAAAACTAAGGTTTTCATTTTTTTTGTTATCAACCCCCAATTTCTCTAAAATTTAATTCAGATAGTGACATTGTGATAGTACTACTACGATTACGAACCATTAAACTACTATTATTTTGATATTTCTATACAAAACAAACAAGTGTTAAAACATTAATATTTTTGTTGCCAAAAACTCATTTCTATTTCCGTGGTCTATATTGATATCAATCTACATGGTCTATTATACATAACCAAAAAAAAAAAAGGCCTTCACATTACAACAAAAAATTGTCAAGATCCAACAACTTCATCTTCTCTTCTCTTACAAACGCGAAAGGTTAGAACCAACCGGAAAATAAGACACGACGATCGGGGCTCTCGGAGATTCCGATTTGCTTTTTGGTCTTTCCAAGGACAAAGCTTTCAAGTTACTCTCATCGGTTGAGCTAATCCGTGAACCGGATTTTGGAGCAAAGCAATCAAGCAAGGACGCAAAAAGACACATGATCGGAGTGTTTTTAAAAACGTGTGTTTGAGTGAGTCTATATTACGATGTATGGTGATTTGGTTTGGTTTTCAAGTGACTATGAGAAGGTTTATTTATGTATTTATAAGGACAAAGATCAATCATCATTGAATATTCTTGGATTACTTTCTTGGAAACGTCCTCTTATCTTGCAGGGCAAGCTTATTTTGCCCTTTACTTACTCGTTTTATCTTTGACAAATCAAGGATGCTTTTGACTTGACTCTTCTAGGTAAAATATTCGGCCAACATGGACCAAACATTGATATGTAGTCTAATTTTTCGAAAACTTAAGATTAAAAGTAGGAACCATCGTTTTATACCACTATCCCACTTAAAACTATTTATTCATGCAAAATTACCCATATGGAATTAAAATCGTTATTGCATTTAGTTAACAAATTTTTTTGAAGTGGGTTATTGAAGACGTCAAATGTCTGAGAGATCGGGTCGGAACTGCTAATTTTGAGAATTAATACAATATGTTTGGGAAGAAATAACAAAAAGTGTTAAAACCATAGACTCAAGTATATGATGTATATTTGCATTTGGAATATTTTCGGAACATAAATATCATTAGAAACTTGAACAAGTCTTCCTCGCCAAGTTTCTCATATTTTTTCTCAAAATGTCGCTTTCTCCTTCTCCTTATGATATCACTTTTTGTTCCTCTGCCACATATTTGAATTTCAGGTTATTAAAAATTTGCCCGATGAGATTTCGGAGGTTTGTCATTGTTTCATCGATTCTGGGAAATTTCCGTCGACATTGTTGTACCAAGCTCCACTTTTCACAAGTTCTGTATCCTCAACAACCTCGCACTTCAAGTCGAGTGTTTTGCTTGAAATGATGATCCTCCTTTTGCTTAGCAAAGCAACACCCTCTATATCATCAGACCAAACGAGATGTTTAACAAACCGTGTCCTTAGTTCACCAAGAACCACATGATTTGCCCTTGCCCCTGCCTCCTTATGGTCAAGCAAAACCACTCCGTCTTCAGACTTACAAAGCAATTTTTCTTCCCCAGCAACTGTACGAATAGGCAGAGCGCTCTTTTTGACAATGTCATTCCTGAGGTCCCTCACAGTCATCAGGTCCTCGCGGTTGCCTATACTTAAAACAGTAAAATGTTTTTCCCCTATGAATACAAAAGCAAGATGTGGTAACTCTGAGCCATCGGATTGCTTGTGTTGTAGGAATGTGAAATGAC